TAAATCAATCAAAATAACAAAATTTAAAAAAAAAAACAATGAACAATGAACCGAAAAATATAAACTGTATAAAAAGAATATATTTCGGTTATTTTCGTTTGCTAAAGTGCAATAGCATAGACACAAAAGTGCAATATGACAATCATTAATGTGCACGTATGTGCCATTTATGTGTAGTGTGAAATGACCAAACTTTCGTCCCAATTAAATTGTACATGCATTTCATTTTTTTTAAAAAATAATAATATGTATGTTAATTAAAATTACTATACACTTATCAAATCATTTGAGTAATATAAAATATATTTTGGTTTATTTCGTTCCATACATACGCTAAAGTGAAATATCATAGACACAAAAGTGCAACACGACAATCATTAATGTGCATGTTGTTTCTGTGCAATGTGAAAGGGTCAAATTTTCATCCCAACCAAATTAAAAAGGAACACTAACATGCATTTTAATTATTTTTTTAAAGAAAATAATAACATGTATTTTAATAAAAATTATTGTACATTTATCGAGTTATTTGTGTAATAAAAATATATTTAGTATTTATAATTTTTATATTTAATATTTAATTTTATTAATTTAAATATCATTGCTCGTACATTTGTTATGTTAAAGTGCAATCTTGCTAACACAAAAGTGCAACCGGTAGTCAATAATGTGCAATATGTTCAATAATATTATAATATTTTATTTTATTTTTATTTAATATTCTCATTTTTTATTCCATGTATTCCGCGACTGAATGTGTTCTGCGAGGGCCCCGTTCGAAGCTTTCCACCTAGGTCACCGACTAAATGTGTTCCGCGACTGCTCAGTCACCTCCTTCGACATCTCCGCCCTCCGCCTTCGCATCGACTCCGCCGTCTCAGTCACCTCCTCCAACATCTCCGCCCTACGCCTCCGCACCGACTCCGCCGTCACAGTCACCTCCTCCAACATCTACGCGACGTACGGGCTCTAGTTGGCGTCTCAATGGCCGGCCCCGTCTTCAACAACCTGATGACCCGTCTCGATTCCGACGAGGATAAGGAGGTCGAAGGAGACGGCTGGCGACGGATTCAACCGGCAAGGCGATGTTGTTGTCTTCTCCGGCGGACGTTGACTACGACGAACTCCATGTGCGCAGTCCAAGGTCACCGGAAATCATCAGGGCAGAGCAGCGGTCGGCGGCGTTGCGCGGTAGGTGTTGTAATTAACATTATATGAGAAAAGAGGATTGTATTATGTGGGAATCCTTAGATATATTGGTGTGTTTAATGTTACTAATGTATTGTCCAAATTCATTGCGGAGAAAACATAACCGTGTTCAGTTTTGAATTGTGAGATGAAAAGTGTGATGAAACTCAAAGTTTTATTACTTTTGTCTTAATGAAGGCATTAAGACATCTCCACTTCATTGAATGCATGCATTGAATTTGAAGACTTTGTAACACTATAAATAGTGTGCATGCAAGCCTACGGGAAAAAAAACACTAAGTGAAGAAAAGAAAAGGATCACCTTATATACATACATAGTCTCTTTCATCCTCTACAAGTCTAAGAATAATTAAGGGTTCTTGGCGACTGAGCTTCTGATCGAGGTGAGTGTAGTAGATAGTGCAGTCTTCACACTTTGAGCCGTCTTATCCTGGGAGAAAAGGCGTAGTACTCGTTGCACAGTATCGGGGCGTCTGTTTCTTCAAGGCAAACAGATTATTTCTGTGATTCAGCTATATGTGTTCTATGGCTATATAGAACTGTCAGTTAAGTTATTTATTTTTATAATAAAATTATTTACTAATAGAAATCTGGTTTCATCTCACGTTCCCGTGGTTGTTGTTTGTGGTTTCTATTTTCAAATTCTTAATACGTATATGTGTTGAAACTCGTTCTTAATTCGCCTTGCACAATTTAAATTTACAACAATCTTGAAGAAACAGGTTTTGTGATTAAAACGGGATTTTTCAAAAGTGTTATACGTACTTGTTTTACTATTTTATTTTCTTTTTTATTTATCATTATGGCAAGTGGTTCTGGCACCATATCGATTAATACTATGTTGAATTCAAAAGTCGATTTATCCGGCTTACCGGAAAAATTTTCGGGGCAATTTTTTTCAAACGTTGGCAACAACGAATGAAAATTTGGCTTACGATGAAAGGACTTTTGACGATAATTCAGGTGGCTACGCCTGAACCAACTGATATTGATCCCAAAACAAATGAAATTGCTCAGTGGGACGAAAGAGATCAAATTGTTCGAGGAGCTATTTTGTCAACTTTGTCAAATACGCTCTTTGATGTTTACTGTTCAGATTCGTACACTGCAAAGTCATTATGGGATGAGTTGGACAAGAAATATAATAATGAAGAGCAAGGTCTCGAAAAGTATTCTGTTTCTAAGTTCTTAAAATATCAGATGGTTGAAGGAAAATCTGTATCTGAGCAGACACATGAATTGATCAACTTGGAACATTCCCTCGCTGATGCTGATATGAAACTTCCTGAAAAGTTTTTGGTTATGTCAATTATTGATAAATTTCCAAAGTCTTGGGAAAGTTTTGGAATGTCGTTAAAGCATCAGAAAGGGAAGTTGACCTTGGATGATTTAATGATATCAATCAACATAGAAGAAGAACATTGAAAAGAAGTTCATAATGTGTCATTTGAACCTAAGGCTAATATGATAATGGGAAAAAGAAAAGTGAACCATGCAAATATGAAAATGGCCAATAAAGACAAGGCTAAGGCTAAAAATAAGAAACCCAAAGCAAACAAACCATG